ACGGAGAGTGACATGCCTAGGGGCTTTTCAATTATGTAACTTGGCTTTGGCTAAGGCACTTACATTTGTAATAAACATGACGTGCTTTTAACTGCTGCAGTCTCCAGGTTTTTGTGTACTCAGCCGTTGTGTTCTGCATTCCAGGTTCCTGCTGGAGGGATTCTGTCACCTTCCCCAAGGCAGCAGATCTGAGGCCAGACGTGGTGTGCGCTGCTTGTGCATCAGATACAAGTAATAACAAGTTTTGAGGAACTGTACCACTTAATAAAAGCATTTTACTACACTTAAATGTATTAAAATGTGAACATTAAATTCAGCGTGCTAATTACTGTTCCCAGGCATTGTCACAGAGAGGAAATGGATCCTCACAATTGCTCTGCTGAGATCGGTCACTGCTGTTACTGCTCTTTGGTTCCTGGTGTAATATTAGTGCTCTGCATTTGGGACTTGAGTCATTAACAAAAAGGCCTCGTATTGGGCATTATGTAAATTCTATATATTTCCACACAGCTGCTGGGGCCTGTGCTATATGTCTCATTGACAAAAAGAAAAGCAAATGCATTTGGCTCTTCCCTGGCTTGTGGGCGAGGGATCTAAGGGGTCACCTAGGCACAGAGTGGGAAAACCTCTTCCTAACACATCTGTTTCTGCAAATCCCTTTCCAAGGCAATTTGTCCCCCTGCAGCTTGCTGCATGTCCCATGACACCTTACCATGGACACCAACAATTCCTGCTCTTTAAGGAGTTTCCCACTTTTCTGGGAGCGAGGGGCTTCCCATCCCTGCAGCAGGCATGTGCAGCACGTGGATCCATTGCCCTGGAAAACTGGGAAAGCCTACCAGGGGTCTCTGGTAGGTGAGAGGCCTGTGGCCAAGTGCTCAGCTCTGTGAGGCCAATCCTGCACCTTCTGGGATATGGTTACATCCCAGAGGAAAGTGGGATGCTAAATGACACGTGGCTGCCTTCCTAAATGAAAAAGACTGTAAAGCTGTTCAGATTAGTGCACATCAATCCCTGTGCTGGAATCAAGAGATGCTTTGGTTTGGCAGCACTGGGGACAAAGCCACCATTTCATTCAAAGTGTATTTAATGCGACAAAAGGAGGCAGCTTCCTTTGACAGTTTTACAGCTCTTATCAGATTACATCAAAATTAAATTAAAACAATTTAAAAGAAGTGTGAAGTACTGCAGGGAGAACACAAACAAAACACTCCTCTATGTAGGCTTTCAGGGAAGAGACCGCAGTCCTTATCAGGGATGGGAGGATGGAGATTATTCTTGAGTCAGTTACGAGCCCAGCGGCTGCGGTGAACACAGAGACACGGAATGAAGTGGGAAATACATCGGGAGGACCAGGATAAGGTTCTTTATTTCCTTATTTTTTGTTAAATAAATAACAGAGTGTTGAACACTGCTATGATTCAATACCCTCAAGCCCTAGCTCGAGCTCCATAGTGAAAAAAACCTCCCAGGGCTGCCCAGGAGACAAACTGTGCAGCCCGATGGGTCAGGGACCATCAGCCCCTTTCCACCAAACCCTCAAAACTGGAATAAGGCTTCCAGTTTTTTCAATTTGGGAAAAAGGCTTCCAGCAGGCTCAGGATTTGAGACAGTGCTGGAAGTGCTTGGAAGTTTTGCAGTGTTTTAGGTGCTCTTTTAGCGAGCACAAATATTTCCAAAAGCAGGCCCAGATTTCATATGTGGGCTCTTGATTAGGTGTGAAGGAGACACCCAAAACACATCTTTGCTTTCAGTAAACAGAAGAAGGGGGGAGAACAGTCTTCATGACAAATGCTTTTTATGGAAGTGCAGTACTAAAAGGCTCCCAAATCCTCTGCTGGGTATTCCTAGAGCGGGAAGGCTCTGACTCAAGCCAATGTTCTCCATATTTTGTTGAGCTGGGTATTTAGATGGACATACAGGGTCTGAGCCGGGCTAATCTGGGGGCAGTTGGGTGCCACTACATCCATTCTGGAGCTGAGCTGGAGGCTGCAGGTGTTGGAAACACCAGGAACACTGCTGGATCACCAAATCCAGTCGAGGAACCCCAGAAAGCTCCTGATCCCCCCAAGGCCAGGGCATGTCCCCAGCCGGAGCCTGCAGCTCCAGCTGAGCTTTCATGTGTCTGTTCTTGGACAGAAGTTCTTACGAAGCGTAATTACTGTGATGATCTCGCACTAATTGTACACTGATTGCCATCCTAATTATGCTAAAGCATTTCACTGCTCTCCGCAATTTTGTCTATTGATGTATCGCTTCTCCTTCATTTCAGTTATTCCCGTGGTATTCAGATTTTATTGGGGCCCTGGAATTTAAGCGCTCATTTGTCAACTTCCTTTCAAAGGGATTGAAGTTTTTATTTGAAAATGAAAGGCGGGTGTTCTGTTTTCATTCTCCAGCTGCAGATGTGAATGCAGGGCTGGAGATGGATGTGGCTGACTGCAGCTTCTCCCATATGAATTTTGGAGAGGTGACAGCACCAGAGGGACACAGTGGCACTCCAGAGGATGAGGAAGTCAGGGTTTTGTTAACTTGAAAATCATGGTGTACAATAAGCTCGGCAAAGCAACTGTAGTTGTTCAGCAGGTCCCAGATATTTTTTGGATTGGCGCTTGGCACATTCCCCCATTTCCAGCGACACGGATCCTGCGTAGCCCCAGGTGCCCTCCAGCACCAAGCCGGGGGCTCAACTGGACCAACAGCAACACCTGCGGTAACAATGTGGTGGTGAGAGACGGGCTGGCGATATATAATTGTTTTTAAAAATCAAAACAAAACAAATAAAAACAAACAAACAAACAAAAAACCACAACAAAACAAAACAAAACAAAAATCCTACAAAATCTTCAAGACTTCCAAGGCGCCTCTGGGCGGCGCCCGCCCGTCCCCATGGCCACGCTGGGCGGCACTTCCGGGGTTCCGCGCGGGGCACGGCGGGAGCCGCACGTGGGCACCGGTGGGAACCGCGCGGGGCCGCCGGGACCGGGAGCGGCACCGGGACGGGGAGCGGCACCGGGAGCGGCACCGGGAGCGGCACCGGGACCGCCCCCGAGCACCGGGAGCGGCACCGGGACCGCCCGCGAGCACCGGCGCCTCCGGGATGGGCAACCCCGCGACCGCCAGCCCCGCAGCCGCCCCGTGCCAGGTGAGCCGGGTCCCCCCGCGGGGTGATTTGGGTTCAGTTCCCATCCCGGGCGGGCGGATGCTTTTCTCCTCCTTGTTCTCGTCCATCTCCTTCTTCTGTTTCCCTTCGATATGTAAGTTCTGGAGGTGCTGGGAAGTCAGTCACGAAAGATTCAGCTCCTGATCGCTGGACCACCCCGGGACGTGTAACTAGACTTTTAATCACCTCTCAGACTCTCCTGGCCGGGGTTTATTTCCTGATGCTGGTGCCTTGTCCAGCTTGCACATGGCAGTGCCCGCGTTCCCGGGGCACTGCAGCCTCGGGAGGGTTTGTTTCGCTGTGCCTGCCCCAGGAGACCTTCCCTGGGTCTCCCTGCCTGCCTGAGTGGCTGCTGCGGGCTGGCCAGCGGGGTGCTGAAAAACCTCGCTGGTGGGGACGGAATGGGCTTTGAGGAGCTGAGGAACGCACTGTGCTCCCTGCGGGATTGGGGAGTGGGAAGTGGGATCAGAGGCAACGGCTGTTCACATCCATCGGCTTCTTCATCCCTTAGGATATCGGTCTTCTCCACTGAGGCAGAAAAATTACTTGTAGAAGTGTAAAAACAAGGTCTTGAAATCTGCGTTTGCTTGGCTGTCCGTCGCGTAACAGGAAATTGAAGGGATGAGATCCCAGATGGAGCGTGGCTGTTAAATTGTGCACATGACACACAACCCTGATCCTGCTCCAGGCGCTGGCAGGATCATGTGGCTAAAACGGGCGCCTTGATCTCCCAGGCAGAGCAGCAGAAAGGGTTTTTCCTCTCTCCCTTCTCTGCAGGGAAACTGCGAGCGGGTGTCTGTGTGGTGGTGGTGCGTGTGTGTGTGTGTTTAGGGAGACGCCAAATCCATGAAAAAGTGTGCCATGACATGTTGGGGTGTGTGATGTCCCCTTCGCTGCCACACCTTGCTGCCTAATGATGCTGTTCCTGAAGAGGCACTTGGCTTTGCTTGTGGCGGGGTTTGCAGTGAGAATCTGCTGGAAGCCTCTCTTGGTTATTTTCAGTTTTTCCCTGGGGGCATGGTTGTTCATCCTCAGGTGCAATTTGGAACTATTCAATAATGGCAGCCATTGTGTATGCCATTTACTCTGGTCCCAAAACCACCTTCCCTGTGGGATGGCTTTAGGTGAGGTGTGAGTGACTTTGTGGTTTGGCATGTGTCCGTCCCACGCCTGGTGCCCTGGCACTGCTCCAGGCAGTTCTGATGGCTCCACAGGCATTCAGGATTCCTGGTGGACACTTGTTTCTGCAGCAGTGCTGCAAGTGGGGCTCACCTGCCTCTAGATGGACATGGCTGGGATGCCAGGAGGGAAATATGAGCTTGATTTCAAGTTCTGTTCCTAAATAAAATACTTGGCTGGCATGTGGCGTCTGTGAGCTGGGAGGGGTTTTAGAAGTGTATTCTAATCCATCTCTGTAGCAGATTCAGGGGAGCTGTTCTGGGAACATCTCCAGCCAAGTGTTTCTTGCATGGAAGGGCATCTGCTGGTGGTATTGTGGGGCAAGAAGGGGAGGGATGGGCTTGGGAATTGCCCATTGTGGGGTTCAGAGGCCTTCTTGGGCCGTCTGGGGTCTCTGGCTGTTTTGGTGGGTCCCACGTGGATGTTCAAACATCTCTTCCCTTGCCAGCAATCCTGTTCCAGTGAGAACGGGGTGGGGGTGGGGGGGGGGAAAGTTTGGAGTTGTTCAGAGCTGGGCTGGCAAATGAGTCTGTAACTCCCAGCAAATCTGACCTCTCTGCTCAGCAAGAGCTGTGCTCTGCAAAACCCCTTAGTTCTGGTGTTTGGAGACCTCAGATGGTGAAATACTTTTATCTCACTGTATGTTGTTTTCTTCTAGTGGAGCCAGAAGGCTGGAATTGGGAAAGCAGAGAATGGAATACACAATGGCTGATCCACACCTGTAAGCCTGTTTAAAATCTTCTTAGGGGCTATTTTATTTTAGGTACAAAGGTTTAGTTATCTTGAAATGCCTTTAGAATGTTGTCTTGAAGGTTTTTCAGTAATAATACATTTATATTCATGTTAAGTGTAATGCAAAATTCATGTCTTCAAGTTATTGATGAAATAGCTGCAGCAGTAACATAAATACCTCATTCTGTGGATACTAAAATCTTGGGAATAACAAATATGCAGGTTGGCTTTATCCTATTTTTACAAAATCACCACAGCTTAGTCCATGCTGGAGAATCCCAGGGTCTTAGAAAGTTGAAAGCCTTAAGAAGCCCTAAGGGATATTCCAGGTTCTGGTCCTGCTCTTTGGATTCTTTCTGCAGCTACTATTTAATGTAAATTGCATGGACAGTCCGTACAAAAAAAAAAAAAACACCAACAAACCCAAACCCTAAACAGCAAACCAAATCAAAATAAAAAACCAGAAGTCCCAACAACCAGACATGACTGAGAAATGTCATCCAATGTTCCATTCCTTTCCTCAAAGGTGTTCTGTAAAGCTCCAGGGACTGAGTGCTGGGTGCGGTGGGAGCCCCTCTTCTGAAAGGGGCAAAAAATGCAGATACAAATTCAAGAAAGAATATCTGGACAGGTGGGGCAACATCACATGTACTTTGTTTCCTGATTTTATTGGATTTGGTTTAATCTAACAGGTTTAGAGCTGCAGTTTCTCTGAACATCTCGGGGGCTTTGGGTTGCAGTTTCCCTCCTGGCTGAAGTGCAGCTGTGAGCCAGGGGCATCTTCGGGTGCCCATTTCTCTGTGTTGGCATTAATGCCGTGTGGCTGCCCTGGAGGCACATCAGGAAAGAGATCTGGCTCGAAGGGAATCTGGTTTGTAGGTGGGAGAGAACTGGTTTAGATGGATTTCCAGTGCCCCTCTTGGTGGCACCATGGATTTAGGCAGCTGTGAAACCTCAGCTTCATTGTTGCTGCTTGGGTGACTTTCAGAACACATTCCTCTGCTAGTTTTCACTTTGATTTAATGGGATAGGAATGACTAACACATAAACCATTTAAAACACAGTTACAGAAGATTTTTAATGTGTTTACCCTTTGGAACACCAAAGTCCCCGTGTACATCTGCAGATAAGTGGCACTTATGTATTTATATAAATGTAGGTGTGTGGTAGAATGAGTCTTCTCCTTTTTGGCATCTGGGGCAGCTCCCCCTCAGTGTTGGTGTGTGTGTCTGAGGCAGAGTGATTGTGATGGATGCTTTTGGCTTATTTTTGCACCTTTAAGTGCCTATTCTTTGCCCTGCAGAGTGAGGCAGAGGTTGCAGAGACGCCTGGAAGTTGTGTCAGTGCGGCAGCAGCTGGCCCTGTGCCGGAACCAGGCCCTGTGCCGGGAATTCCTGCAGCTGGAGGCTCACATGGAAGCCACAGGCTGGGAGAGCATCCGGAAGATGGAAGTAACTTCCTATAAGACTTGGTCTTGGGTGTTTGCTGTTGTTATGCAGGAATCTCCTGGTAGGTCCTAGAGCTGGAAGCAAACTCCATTGGGGTCTGTATTTCAGCTTGTAGCATAGACAGCTCTGAAGTACCCCAGATTCAACAGATGCTGTAAGAAAAAGCCAAGCCCTGGGGTTTCTTGAATCACATTATTATTATTATTATGTTGTTGTTGTTGTTCCCTAAGGTACAGTTTGGGATGTTGCAATGTGATGATTCCAGGTTTTTAAAAATTAAATTGCAACGTCTGCTTATATGCCACTGATGCATGGAGCCACGTTTTTGAGGGAGCGCAGTCTGAGAGGGAAATGAGTTCATTCCTGCTTTCTAAGAGCAGTGGCACTCCTCATAAACACTTGGCTGTGTTTGTTCCTCACACTGCAGTAGCCCAGGTAGCACCTGTCGGATCTGGTGACGTTCCCAGAGCATCTTTACCTGGCTGCAGTGCAGTAGCTCAGAATTCAGAGTCTGTCCCTGGGGTGTGCGATTCCCTGCCTCTGATTTTTACTTGTTACTTGAAGCAGAGCAGGAGAGGGGCTGTACTGCAGTGCCAGCTTTCCCCAGTTGTTTTGAAGGGGTTTTTCCTCCTCAGCAGCCCTGGTGCACACCAGTCTGCCCAGTGTTAGGGCTGGTGGTTCTGACACCTGCTGCGAGTCCCAGTACCACAGGTCGAGCTGCACGTGGGGTTTTTGTTCAGTCCTTCCATTTTGGTGTTCCTGTGCCATCCATTTTATCTTTATCAAGTTAGAGTTATTTTTTGGAGCTGCTGAACAAATGACATCTCCTCCGTGTTAGTTATGGAAAGCAGGAGAGTTATGGAGCATGCAATCATTTAATCTATCATGGAAGTACACAGAAAGAATTTATTGCTGTTTTCTCTCCTTTTTTTCCATAGAGAATGCCCTTTAGGAGTGCTTTATCATAACTCTGTGCACATTTATTACATGGCTGTAGCTCACAAAATTCCTTTTGTTTCTGAAAGATGCACTTTTGCTCCCTGTGTTTGGTCAGTAATTTTTAGGAGTATAAATAAATTCACTTCAGCTTTCAGCAAAATCCAGGAGTTACATCTGAGTTTCTTTTGAGCATCTCGACTCCTCACGTGGTGAGGTTTTGTTCCCTAAAATTCCGTGTTCACAGTTTCCTGAGCAGTTCCTACCTGGGAGCCAAGAGCACTGTCGGAGCAGAGGGCAGAGGCGGGCGAGTTAATTGTGTGAAGGATTCATTCCCACGCCCGTTCCCTGATGCAGCACTGGTCCTGCAGTGCTTTCAGCCTTGCTGTGCTGCGGCTGCTGCGGGCTGCAGTTAGGAGCATGCAGGATTAATTGCAGGTGCTGCCTGTGTGATGCCCAGCTCTGCTCCCAGCACTGCTCCTATAAGCCCCAGAGTGTGGCAAGCCGTGTTTGGAGCCTTCCCTGCTGGGCTGTTCTCTGGAACATCTGCCAGGGATTGTTCCTCACAGCAGTCATAAGATGGGGCATGAAAAACACATTGTGGAACTTGTTTCATCCCAAAGCAGCCAAGTCATTGTCTGGAGGCAGCAGCAATACTTTGGTGCTACAGGTGCTGGTTGGGATGCAATAAATACAATAAAAATGAGTCAACAAGTTATTGCTGTTCTGTGGGATTCTAAATGATGGGGATGAATAAATGTGTATGAAAGCCCTGCAGCAGATTGTATACAGGCCACGCTGCTTGGTCAGGGGAGTGGAAAAATGAGGAACAAATGAGATCCCTGTTTTTAAATATTGTCTGAGTTAAAAAGGCTGTAGGGGCTTTGCATTTAAAGGTGCACTTTTTGCAAAGTAGTGTCTCTTGGGTTGGGGGGGGGGTGGTTCAGCCTCCAGTTTTGTGTGACGGATTTGTTCCCTTTTAGGAATGGCATGGAAGGGAAATTAAAAACCTGTTATCCCTTCAAGAGGTCAGCTTGTCAGCAGGAGGTGACAAGGAGGAAGGACCCAGTGAGCAGGTAATGGGGGGGAAATGGGCCTTATTCCAACGGTGTGCTCTCCTCTGAGCTGCACAACCTTTCTGTGGGGATTGCGATGCTGGCACATGCAGTATGTAATAGTGTGTAGATCCTGAGAGAAGGAGAACCACCTGGGTAAAAAGTGCAATAGTTTCATCCATAGAGGCAGAATTAAAAAAAAAAAAAATCTCTATTTGCGCACGTCTTCTTGTTGGCTTTTATAATTCCTGTGCTGGATGGTGCGGAGATGGTAGTGACCGAGGAGGAAATGTTCCTAATGAGGGGTATTTGCAGAACTGAAGCTGAGGAGCCGTGTGCTGTGTTTATAATTTTGTGTGTTTTGACCTTTCCTCAGAAGGAGCAGAAGGAGATTGCATATCCAAGGAACAAACAAAAAGACTGACAAGGAATACTTAAATATCTGCTGCCATATATCTGCAGTAATGCAGGCTCCTAATCCCTCCTATCTCCATATAAATGATACAGTTCAAGACCAGGGCTGTTTTCTCCACTAAAAGCAGCAAAGCTCTTTTAGATGAAATGTCTAAAAACATCTTGTAATAACTTGGAGCATGCTGGCAAGAGTAGTCACTTGTGACTGTGTGTGGAAGCCCCTCAGCCAGGCGGCGCCGGAATAGGCAGGACGGGAGCATCACTCCATTATTCCAAGGAGCCGGCAGCATGCGCCTCCCTTAGGCTACAGCATTCATTAAGGAAAGCTTACTGGGCTGAAAGCTGGGAACAGATGATAACGGGATATGATTTTCATATTTAATGCATTCCTTGGAAGAGTGTGTGTGCTGCAGATTGATAGAAGAATCAACTGCTACTTTACTAAAAGACTTTCTAGTTTGCCCTATAGCTAGCGATGGAATCATTCAGCCAAGAAATTAACTTTTTCCCCTTTTACCTGCTTTATGTATCTGCTAAGCAGGCTGCTGGCTGCCAGGGAATGTTATTATGCAGTTAAATGTTTGGTATTTAAGACTCTTATCAGAAAAGAAACAGAGGCCACACTATTTTGTTTTTATAGTAGGAGGAAGGTTTTTGGTTTCCTTTCTTCAGTGTATTAGCAGTTGTTAATCTGAGTTTATAGGAAGTTTTCCCATAGATTAAAAAGTTAAAAACCTTAAATTTGGAGCATTCTTTAAATTGTAATACACAAAGCAATGAAGCCTAGCAGCCTTGACCACAGGCCAGCCTGTGGCAGGGTGCAAATTGTGATTGGAATTGGGAGGTACTGTGGGGAAAGGTGCGTTTCTTTTGGAATGTGAGCTGTCCAATTAGGGCAGGCAGTATGGGAGATGGGATTTTCAGCTGCTGGAGAAGTTGTCATGAATACTAGAGCATCAAAGGCTTGTGCTGTGACTTGAGGGTTGCAAAACTGTGTGCAGGTTTTGGGCACTATGACAGTGTGATGTGTACCCAAAAATGTCAATTTGTGTATAATAATGGAGTGGATTATGGATTCCTTTATCCCCTGTCCTCTTCCTCCTCCTCATCTCCCTCCTAAAAATCAGAGGTAACCTCAGCTGCATTATGCATTTTTGCCATGTCCCTGGGGTGTGTTTCAGCCCTTCATTCTGGTTTTTTCACTTCAAATGTGCCGGTTCTTCTGTCCAAAACACAGGACTTAGTTCTCAGTGATGTGGCACCGAGTCACTCACAGAGAGAGTGTGCAGTCAACACATGGGATGTCCAGGATACAGCTTGTGGAACTGGTTTTATTTCCCAGCACTGGGATTTGGATGGTTTCCTTCAGGCTGGTTAGTGTGATGACTCCCTCAGTGACATCTTGAGAGGTCATCTCTCTGCCCAGAACAGCTTTCTACAGATGGGCAGTATCTCAGTGCTGAAACACCTTCAGGAATGTCTGGCACATTCCCGAGCCATGGGAAATGTGCCCTTTTGGGCTCCTAGTGTCAAGGGGAGTCCTTAAGTTCAGCAGTCCCACACTGAAGAGCTCTTTCCTGGATGGCAGAGCTGTACAGCCCAGGCTCCTGGATCCTCTGTGCTGGGAAGTCAGCTTGGAAGCTCTTCCTCGGAGCCCTCAGAAGATTTTGGACTTGGGCATGCTGGAACCTCCCAGGAACACCTGTGGGTGGCAGAGTCCCTTCCTAGGGAAAGGGATCGATAGGAATGTGTGCTGTGCCTGTTTGTAATTCATTTGTTTTGGAACACTGCATCAAGGAGCTGCCAAAGCCATGCAGGACTGGCAGGAGGCATTTGAAAGCACCAAATCCCGTGCCCGAGAAATAATTAGGAGGAATATGAGAGCAGTGGTGATGGAATAAGCTGTGAACTTAATCTGAGTGGCAAACCTTTACTACTGCTTAAAATTACTTCATTGCTTTTTGTTCTGCTTCTTGTTACATGGAATTTGAGCTTTTTTAAGGAACCTGAGTCACAGAGCAGACAAGATGCCTTTGTTTCCTTTCAACTGGGCTCGGCAGCTGACTTGGTGTGGGAGGAAGAGGTCAGGCAGTGAAGGAGAGGGGAGAGGTGTGGAGATGACTGTAAATTGTGCTGCTGGGATTTGGGGCTGGAGAGGAAGCCCTGCTCAGTGCGAGCAGTGGCATTACGATGGCTAATTTTGGCTTTGCATAAACTGGCCATGACCCTACAACAGTTGTGGTGACAGCAGCCACTCCTCCTAAATTGTCCTGATTGAGTAGGTTTGCAAAGGAAAAGAGGCAATTGTTAAAACAAATGGATTTAGCAGCAGAGTGGCTGTATCCTGGAGCTGGTTTTAAGCAAGTTCAACAGTCCTTGGATGAAAGTGCCATTCAAAATGTGTCTGCTCTGTGTTCCGTGTCACCTGGTGGAAAAAGGCCATGTCACTGCCATGTGAAGAGCAGGAGGGAGACAGTGAAACTGAGTTTTGCCTTGTTCCATGATGTGAGGGAAGCTGGATCTGCTCAGTGATTCACAAACAAAACACAGTGGTCCCTCTGGGCTCTAGGCCTTATGGGCAACTCTAAATGAGGTGCTTTGGTCCAGGGTCTCCAAACCTGTGTAGGATCCTAATCCCAAAGATTTGACTCTTTGTAAAATGCAGTCACCATTTAGATGGGTTTGAGTCCTTGGTGTGTGTGGGTCCCTTTTGGCTGGGCTGGGTGCAGGCAGCTTCTGCCACTAGGTGTTTTGGCTCATGGGGAGCATTGATGTAGCCTTGGGTCCTCATTTCACACTCTGACTGTGTGCCAGGGGTTGTGTAATACTAATGCCACAGCTAAGTCTTGAATTCTGTGACACTTTTCTCTTCAGAGCCCAGCATGTCACCCTCAAGAAGTTCAGTGTGCCGCACACAGTTTTTGTCTCCTTCAGCCATGTCTCACTGTGTGTTTTAGGTGCTGCGGGCCGGAGGACAGGTGGAAATTGGCACCAATACAGCCGTGCCAGCAGAACTGGGCTATCCAGCAGCAGCCTTGCTGGGCTGCCCCACATCAGCTGCCTCGGCCACAGGAGGTTTGGGCTCGCAGCAGGAGCCCCCTCTGTGCTCCTCGTCCTCTGATGGGCTCAGTCCTGAGACCGGCAACGCTGCTGGAGAGAGTGAGAAGGGAGCAGCAGGACATGGGGACCTGGCAGCCAGTGAGGAAGGCTCTGAGCAGCTCATGTCAGCTTCTGGTGCCAAAGCAGCCCCCACGAGGCCAGGAAGTGATCCAGGTATGGCAGTGGTATGTGTCCCTGTCTACCTCCTCCCCAGCCAGAGCCCTTGCCCACAGCTGCTGTTCCTCCTGCACCTCTGGTACTGGGCTTGGAGCATAGTGGCTCTTACTCCTTTTTTCTCTGTTTGTTCCTTTCTTCCTTTAGACTCCGTTTCCTCTCAGGCTGCTCAACAGGACAGGGAAGGATGTGCTGGGGGCTGATCCTGGTCAGGGGCACTGTGAGGGAAGATTTCCTCATTGCTGTGCCCACAGAGGCCCTGGCGTAGTCTGAGCCTGTCTGAAGAGGTTTAATATGAACCTGGTTCACCAGAGGAGTCACTTTGGGATCAGGCTGATTCCCTTCTCCCTCAGAGCTGGTGCATGATAGCTGATTGATTCCCCCAGAACTGATCTGGTCAGGTAGCTGGTCTCTGTGCCGAGGTGGTTTTTGAGAAGTGCCAGGTTTGTTCCCAAGCCCCAAAGGCTGTAGCCTCTCTGGACTCCCCCTTGTGAGAGGAGTGTGGAAGGACAGGGGCTGAGGGTAGGAAAGCCCACAGACAAGAGGAGCTGGTGGATGGATGGATGGATGCTCTCTCACACGTGGTGAACAATGTGGATAAGCTTGGTTTCAGTCCCTGCACTGTGAGCTACTCCATGGTCCTGCTAATGTTTTGAGAAGAATAATTACAGTTTTTATATATTTGATTTATTATTTTTTATTGTTATTACAGGGGCAAAGCCTAGCCTGAGCAGCTGGTGGACTCACAGGGAGCAGAGCAGAGCCAAGCTCCCAGTCCCTGCCAGTGCTGAGGAGGAGGTGAGGCCAAACGTTCCCAGCTTGCAGCAGGACCAGGGCAGGGATGCCCAGGCTCCAGAGTGCTCCCTGCTGCCCCCACCGAACCCTCCTGCGGCCCAGGAGGAGCCCTTGGACAGCTCAGCACCACACAGGTACCATCTCCCTGTTTCCTGGATCAGCTGGCCTGGTCAGGGCAGTGAAGCTCACACCAAATTCTCCCCTGTCCTTTAGTACATTGTACCTGTGCTGGGCATTCAGGGGCTTCTGTCACCTCACTGGCAAGTGAAGGATTAGTTACTGAAATGCAGATTATGTTATTTGAATATACAGAAATCTTATTCCAGTCACTCTACTTGGTAAAACTTCCACTGGTTGACCTGTTTGAACATTTTGTTTGCAAATAGAGTAAGAGAGGATGAGGACGATGCACTGCAGACACAGAGCCTGTCCTCTGCTGCAGGATTTTGTGGCCAACAAATGCAGCACAAGAGCATCAGTCTACAGCCATCTGTGCAGGGTTTTCAGCCCCACAACGCTCTCATGAGACAGGGAAGTCCCTGTCCCAGTGGGGCAGTGCCCATGGGGAGATGGTCCCCGGAGCTGGCCCAGGTCACCCAGGAGGGCTGGTTCAGGTCACCGGGGAGGGCTGGCAGGTCTGTAGTGGGACATTGTGCAAAGGAAACAGCGCTTTTACCCCTGGAGAGCAAGTGCTCCTATAGAAGGAGTTATCTTCTGCCAGTTGGTTGGTTTTCCCATCATGGTTGTTTGCAGTGTTTATATCTGTTAATGTCTGTTCCTGGGCATGTTGTGGTGGTGCTGATGTCAGTGCTGGTTTGGGTGTTGACACCTGAGCAGAAACTGGCAGCCATGGGCAGAAACTTCCATAACTTTATCCTTTCCTATTTGCATTGGGCTATTGCTCACTATGGAAACATCATCTGATTTACATGTAAAAAGCTTTTCCTCCAGTCCTCCCTTTGTATCCCACCTGTTAATCAGGCAATGAGTGCCTGTCTCTGTGAGAGGAGTCAGAGCCAGCAGACTGGAGGCCAGCAGTTTAACCTTGTGTTCCCTCCCCAGCGAGGCCTTGCTGTGCAGTGCCTGATGAGACGCAGAGCAGCTCTTGAGGCCCAGGGAAGTTATACACGAGGTTTGAGCGCCTGTGTTGTCCCCGGTGCATGGCTGGAACTGCGGCACAGAGCTCTCCTCCCGTTGTGCCAAGCTGAATGCCTCTGCTTCTCAAAGGCCATGGAAGTGGGATCACCACTGCTTGCTGGTGCTGCAGAAAAGATACAGGTTTTAATTTGCTTTACCTGAAAATGAAAAGGCAGATCCACCAGCAGGAGTGGAGGACCAGCTGTTCCCTTGTTGTGCTCACAGCCAGGTGGGCTTTCCAAGGCACCTGGAATGCAGCGTGCACACTTGAGCCTTGCAAAATTAATTGGCCAAAAATCTTGTGGAAAAGCTTGCAAGTGATTAGTACATGAATTTCAATTTGTACATGTTACACAAAGTATGGGAATGCAGCTTCCTCTGCTCTGTCACACCACAGATTTACAACATGTGTATCCTTCCAGTCCGTGTGGTTTTCTCTTGCAAAATTCCTGTGCTGGCTGAAAAAATGTGCTAAAATTCACCAAATTCTGTGTATTTGTTGCCTTAAGTTGAAATATCTGGACTCTCCCACTGCAGCGATGTCACTGTGGCATCAGAAGGAAGCATTGTTCATACGCGTCTGGTGAATTACCTGAAATGAGTACAAGGGATGATGTTGAAAGGAGCAGAGACCATGGCTGACTCCAGAGGCAAAACCAGTCCTTATTGTGTGCCAGGAAGCCACAAGTTTTTATCTTTGGAGCAAATGCCTCTCCTGCCTTACTACAGAGATGCCAGTCTGTTTTTTAAAGAGTTTTGGGCTTTTTCCCCTGCAGTGAAGTGTTTGCAGTCAGGGAAGGGAGATGTTGTTGGGAAAGGTGATTGAGCAGAAGGTTTTCATCTTGTTGCAGGTCACAGTAGGGTGCTGCAGATTTTCTGCCTCAGTTATCAGAACTGGTGATTGTTGGGCAGTAACATCAGTGTTCCGACAGATGAGAGGCTGCTCTCCTGCCTTCTCACACCCAGCCCCATAGAAAGAGCCTGGGATGGGTTTCCTATCAGCAGCCCACCGGCACCACGGGGGCTCATGAAGGCTCCTGGTGTCCCCTCCCGTGGAGCTGCTGATCCAAGGGGAAAGGCTCTGTGTCCTCTTACCATTCCCTGCAGCATCCAGCCCTTTCTTTAGCCCTTTCTAAACCCGGGAGGTGGGGGGAGAGGGTCTTTACAAATTAATGTGGAGAAAGATGATGGCTATTTTAAGGCCTAAGCTGAGGGAGTGGAAAAAGGCAGAGCTAATGCCTGTGCTGCTTCAGCTGCATTGAGGAGGACTTAGCACAGATGGATTGTGCATTACAAAATGTAACACATAATTCAAGCTGTCAGCTTAATCAGACTGTTTCCAGGAAGCAACCTGTAAAAGAGAAGGACCTCTTGTTTGCTGACCTCTGATCCGTAGCCTGCTGCAGATTGTCATACATTTTGTTTTTCTTTATGTTGGTGTCCCTTCCTTCCCCTTCCCTTTTTATTATTGTATCCCTCTCGAGTGGCACCCTGGAAGGACCACCCAGCGGGAGGAAAACAATGGGAAATGAGCCGGCCGCTGGAATACAGGGTTTGTAAGGCTGGGGGAAAAGAGAGAGCACTGTTTAACTGCCTATGTGATCTCCCGGGCATTGTTTTGCTTATTAAATGTCTAGTAAACTCGACTAAAGACACAGCAGCCCCCACTTAATTGTTCGCTGTTGCCCAACACTTGGAGGGAAAACACAGCTTTGGGCACAGCTCAGCACGAGTGTGCAAATGCTGAAAGTTTTTGTGCACAGGGCTTCTCCCGGGAGGCAGAGTAAGCCAGGGTTAACTATGGAAACATGTCAGCTCCTGCATGTGGAGAAAAGAAAGAAAACTCTCTTTTGCCTCAGCTTCAGTGTTCATTGCTGGGGAGACCTGGGCTGGGAGCCCCACAAAGAGGCAGCCGGAGACCTGAATAGCCATTTACACCTCTGTCCCGGGATTAGCCCGCGGCATTGTTTCAGTGGTTAAGTCCTCATTTGCATCATTATAGAGGTGCAGCTTCATCAAAACCCCTCTGAGGTTCCAGGCCTGTCCCCATACCTGTTGGTGGTCACCAGATTTGTTTCACTTGTGGAGGTGAAGGAATTAAAGTGCTCGGCACAGGGATAATGTCCATGCAGCGGCTCAGCCCGGACTGATTTTTGGATGATTTGTTTGCTCATGTGCCCCCCCCCCCCACCCCGCCCCCTTCCTTCAGAGCTGGGGAACGTGGTTCTTGCCATTTGGAAAGCTCAAACGAAGCTGTTTATTTCCCAAGGGGTGCGATGGGAATGCACTGAGGAACCCTGTCACATGCTGTCGGTCACTCCCATGCTGTCTGTCCATCTGCAGGCCCGGCGGGCTCTGCCACGCACTGCAGCTCCCGGAGGACCTGGTGGAGAGGATGAGTCCCCGGCACCAGACACTGTACCAGGGCCAGCCCTCGGCGACAGCGGAGCGGCCCAGGTGAGTGAGTGCAGCCTGGGTGACAAATGGCCCATGCCAGAAAAACACAGTAAATGGAGCAAGAGAGCAAAGGGAATCCCCAGAACTCGCCAAAAGCAGTGGCAGAGAGCCCTCGCTGTCCTTCCTCAGCCTCTGGGCCCCTAAGTGCAGAACTAGGAATTGTTGGTAACTCTATTGACAGCGATGCACAGCCTCCACAGACTGAGACTCTTGTAGGCAGTTTATTGGAGAATTCCTCGGGAATTAGGGAAGAGGAGCCCCAAAAAGGCCTGCCGCCCAGCTTGCCACTGGAGGTGGCTCCACTCAGGGGATGTGCTCAGCTTCTGTCTCCCTGGGAGGCTGCGCCTGGTTTGTTCCAAGTGCTGAGTGTGACCTTACTGACCAGTCCCACATGTGTCACTACGGATGTTCATTTGTCCCTCTGGCTGTCCCCTGGCCGTCCTGTCTCCTGGGATGGGCTGTGCTCACAGGGCTTGTCCCTCCTGCTTTGTGTTGCAGTGCTTGTGCTGAGGCCAGCGGGCTGCCTCAGGGTGACCTTGAGGTGATGGAAGCCGCGGTGCTCCAGCAGCTCCAGGCCGTGTCCCAGCGTGCACAGAGCAGGAGCCTCCCACCGGAGAACCCTGGCGAGGCCGTGAGCAGAGCAGGGTATGAGGAGCACACCAGGTACAGGGGACACAGAGCCACAGGGGTGAGGAACATATTTGTCTCTGCCTGGATCTGTGCTGTCCCTCTGGCACCGAGGCAGCCAGGCCCGCACTGGCAAACGGAGCCGTTGGAGCATGGAGCCTTGTGGCACTTGCAATGGGGGCATTCAGGAGTTCATTTATTTCCCTCCCATTCCCCAGTGGTGGCCCCAGCTCCATAGGAGCAGGCCCAGGGTTCCCCAGCTCATTTGATCCACAGTGTCTCCCACTCTGGCAGGCAGGGAACTGCAGGAACTCCAAACACCTCTCAGCCAGGATCTGAAAGTAAGGACAACAAATGTAATTCTAAGAAGGAAATTATTCTGTTTGAGACAGAAGATGCACGTGGCCTTTGAAAACAACAAAGTGCAGTTATTCAAAATGGGCTTTTTTTTTCCCATGCATATGCCACAAGGACAAGTGACAATTACTTTTTTTTCAGGTCTCTTTAACCCAGGAATGAAAACAATTTTCATTCTGTCTTGCTTAGCTTCTATCTAGACCTCCCTCCCTGTTGCAGGCTCCGCAGTGCTCAAGTGCTGGCAGGATCAGGGCACTTGTGAGCGCTGCAGAAGGGTCTCTGCAGTACCTGCCTCTCTAGCGAGGCTGATATGCCTGTGGGCACCAACAGCTCCTTGTGTCTCCTGAATGGTTTCTTAGGGACAAACACTCTTGGAGTTAATTGGAATTCACTCCTCTGAAACTTCACTGGAGCAGCAGGAAAAAAACAGCTTTGGCAAACAAAAGGATTGCAGGATTGAGATTTTCTACATTAAAAGACACCTTAGTTGCTTTTTTTCCTTTTCCTTTTTTATTCTTTTTGAGCAAAAGACAAGCCTGGGGCAGTGGTTGCCAGACTGTGCCCCAGGGAGTAAGCAAGGCATGATGCTGAGACCAAGGTTGTGTCTTTGGATCCTGAGCCTTAGGGCAGGGCCCACATGATGATGATGGTCACCCCTGCCCATCTTGCAGAACTTGCAAGTGCCTTCCTACATTTCCTACTTTGGACATTTTTAAAAGAGAAAGTGGGAATTAGGGACCAGATGGGTTGTGGCTTTTCCCAGCACGTGTGGGTGGGGTGTCTCACTGAGGTTTGTTCCTCAGGGACACGGACGCACTGCAGAGTCTCCTGAGCCACCATGGCTTGTCCCTGAAGCAGCACAGGGTTCGGTTCCCGGAGCGGGTGGCAGAGACGTTTGAGGAGCTGCTGGCTTCGGGAGATGAGGGGCAGGACCGCCAGGTGGGCACTGGCACCTTGGGTAAATCAGGGGCACTGGAGACTCTGCACCCTGGTGGGATGTGGTGGTCAGGGCAAGGGTGGGCAGTCTGTGGTTAACCAGCCCTGGGCTCTCAGGGAAATATGTTCAGTGTTTCATCCCACAGGAAAAGGGACTTTTTAAGGTTCCCACCCTTCATGCCAGTCAGGCATTGGCACAAACTCACCCTTTGCTCTGGTGCAAGCCATCACAAGGCTTCTATCTTCATCTTTCTCTGTGACTTTTTATCATGAATTATGTATTTTGACTTTTTTAAAGCAGAGTGAGATTTGGTGCTGAATACACAGAGCATTTTATAAATGATATCACATTCATGGTTTTTCTAAGTTAGTGCAAAAGTTTATAGCCAACTATTTAAATAAATCAATAGAAACAGTATTCCATAGGCTGTGAGTGCCTCAGCCCCTTACTGTGCTGTTAATCAATTGATTTACTAAACAGTGAGAGAGTTCAGGCAGAACATAGACTAGATTTTACAGACTCAAGTCTGTATTTCTGTCCCAAAACCAGCCCCAGAGGACCACCCTAGATGTCAGGTGGTGGAACATCCAACAGAAGCACCCTGAAAGCAGATTCCCTGGGAGTGTAGATTAGCCTGAACGCGGGTTGGAAAACACTCAAGGGGGAGGCTAATAGAGCTGTGGCTGTTTCTGTTTTGAATGCTCAGACTGCGCTGGTGCTGAGAGAGGCCCTTCCAGGAGAGTGTGGGGATGAGCCACCTGTCCTGAGTAATGAATCCTCTCTCGGCCTGCCATCGATCCCGACCAACGGTGGGGAAGGAAAGCAGGGGGAACTGGCACGGCGAGAACCAGGTAAGGGGTGTTCCAGCTCTGGGCTGCCACTCCAGGTTCCTGCTTTGGACATGGGAGCTCTGTCCAAATACCCAGGGGCCCATGCCATAGCCACTGGTAGATCAATGTTCATTTGTGATGGATTTGGGGGATTTTCCTCAATATCTCAGTATCATTTGTGATTCTGGCTTTTCAAACTAAGTAATGCCTGCGGTGGTGGGTTTTTCTGCAGGAGAGGAAAGGCCAAACCCTGTGGCCCCTGTAAAATGAATCAGTGAGTTCTGTGTTCATGTTTACAAAGCATCTCCCATTTAGGAACTGGGGGATGTATTTGCTGCCTCTTGTGACAAAGCCAGACCACAAGAAGGAATTGCCAAAATGAAAGGGCTCATGTGGGGCCATTTCCCAACTCAGGATGTGCCAGTGTCGGGGAGAGCCCAGTTCATTCCTTCACACAAGGAGGGAATACATTATTCCAGTGATGGCAATAAGCGAGCTCCAGCTCGCTTACTCTGCTCCTGGAGCACCCCTTCGATCTGGCAGCGGCAGGCAATTAGGCTGCCGTGCTCTTTGCACAGCAAATGCAAACAGCCTCCTCCAGGCTCCGAAATCCACACCACTGTTATGTGCAGAGGCGACCAGACTTTGATTTAATCTAATTTCCTGCAGTGGGTCTGGCACATACCATTGTCACCAGGCATTGCTGCAGTTTGCTTGTTTTCCAAATCCATGGGGTCTTCAATTCCTCAGGACATTTGGTTGGTTTGTCCTTCTGTGAGGAAGCTACAGAGAAGCAGGGTAGCAAGTTCCCAGTGGGCACTGCTTTTATGAGCAGTAGTGTATAGTTTAGATCATTAAAAAGAGATAACAAAAGTGGGAAATTAAAGGGAGTGGGGCTTAAAAGCAAGCAAACCGGTCTGATGGCTGCCGCTTTGAAATGGTTTCATTATGGTGTGTTCATATCCAGAAGTCACAGGCTGGAGTGAAGATGAGAGCAGGCAAGAAAGTGTGGTGGGAAAGATTCCCATTACAGGTGGAAGAGGTGGCTGCATATTAACCTCAGGCCCAGCATTCGACTGGGTTATACAATCACACCCTGGCGGCTCCGTGCCGCAGGCAACTTCAGAGGGAGCTGCTCGCCCTGAGTGCAGATTAAATGTCACATCACAAAGCCCACGTTGGCAGAAACAAAGGTGGGGAGCACGGTGCCTCTTTAATTCCTTGTAATCATGTTCCATGACTGCACTGTGTGAATATCCTCTCCTCAGGCCTGTCGGGGCCCACTGTTGGAGTTACAGGGGTCAGTCTCTGTGGTGGAGATCCAGGAATTAAATGGCCAACTCTAGAGGGTGCTGGTTTGATTCTTTCCATAAGTAATTGACTGGGGATCATTAGAATAAGCGTGGAGCAGATCCCTGCCAGGCAGGAGCTGTGCCTGTGCCAGCCAGGAGCCTCCTCTCTGCCTCCCGTACCAAAGCTGCCTGATAACAGTGGCTCCCTCCAGCCAGTGCCATCACTGAGGCTTCCTGACCTCTTCTAGCTCTCTCACGGAGCAGACTGCTAATGCTTCCTGTGTGTAAAAATGCCAAGAAGCTCCTCAGCCAAACCCCGTAACACGAGTTCCAGCCCATCCCTTGTGAGGGAGCTGTCTATGGTGTCCCTCTGCCTCTAAGGTGAGGCTTGTCACACCCCACTTGAAAGCCAAGCTGCTCCTTTCAGACATGATTAATCTTCAGCCTGTGATCTTCTGGGGGCTTCTTATTCCCCTCCCCTGCTCTCCCTGCCAGGCAGCTGCTCGTTCCCTTTTATTATCACCATTTGCTGTGGCCCTGGGGCGCTGGAGTTATTATGGGCCAAAAATAGAAGCCACATCTCTTGTATATTGGCTTTTGGGCTCAAACAACTTGTTTTGATGGGTTTAAATGAACTGATACTTGATGACCATCCATACACAATTGTTTTGCTGTATGACTTTTTCTGAGCTTAAGGGATACAAATTTGGCTTAATTTTTTTTTTAATTTCAGTATTTGCTGCATTTTTAAAGTATTGGTTTGAAACACCAGAAGCCTTTTGGGGCTTTGGGGTTTGACAGACTTCACTGTGAGAGCTGTGTGGACACACTTCCAAGCAGTGTTTAGGACAGCACCTTGGGAACACTTCTGGAGTTTTGGTTATTTTTTCTTTTACTTCTGATACATAAAAAAAGAACCAAAACATTAATTTGCTTGAATATCTGTAAATATTCCAGAAGTATTTGTGTTGGTTCTTTAATGCCCTCCCTCATGGGAGGCCACCTGTAAATAATGGGCGTTAAAGGGATTGTACTTGCTCCACAGGCTCCTCTCTGGCCCAGAGAGGAGCTGGCTGATAGCAGTAGTCTCCTGTGGTACCAAGTTATGTGAGGATACAGGGGGAGAGCAGGGCTCGTTCTCAGCTCCTCCACGGATGCTTTGTTTTTTATGGGGAAGACGCAAAAGAAATTGTTCAGCTCTTAGACTATTCCTGAGGTAGGTGAATAATGTGAGATTAAGAAGGATAAAACCCATTATTTCTGGTTTTGCTGGATGACTGTTTAAGAGTCTCATTTATGAGTAGGAAATTGCTGATTTTATTGAAGGGGCAGGTTTGTTAAATCTTTAACAAAACAAGATTCTCTGTCTTCCCTTCACTTGTCTTTGATTTGAGCAGGCGTTAAGGCTGTAGAGGATTTGAATAAAAATGGCATAACGGCTCCACTCCTTGGGCTCTGCTTTACAACAGCTGGAATGTCACCCCCAACTGCTCTCCAGGTCTAAAGTCTCCTGTAAGAATAAGGAGGAAAAGTCCTGTTACAAAGAAAAAATTATCCCTTCTTTATCTATTATATGGGAACATGAAGGAGCACAAGCTGGATTTTGCCTTCCTTTTCAGGCCACCTTTAATGAGCCAACAATCATGCAACCACTTTTCCCACACCTACATGTCCTTCCTGGTGAGGTCCTCTTTTGAGGATTCTGAGGTGCTGCTTGGAGTGCACCAAATGGAGGCATTTAATAAGTCTGGATCAACCTTTTGCTCTGTTTGATATCATTTGATACGTTTGGGATGGAAGGCCAGTGCCAGGTTGGACACTGCACTTAGGTCAGTCTGGATGATGCCATCCAGCAGCTCATGTTGGACACTTAAGTTCCTAAAAGACCTCTGAGTCTTTCTAAAGTTGTGAATTCTGGGTGAAAATTCTTCATCCATCTCTAAGCAGAGGGAGCAGCAGCTTGAGCTGGTTTTGGGGGAGAGGCAATGCCATATGCTGGGATACATCATGGGAAAGGGGGGATAATTTTTTTTTTTTAACACTCTTTTTTACCCTCTCATTCTTGATTTCTCTTTCCTCCTGGGCAGGCTCTGGCACCTCTTTGCTGGAAGTGCCTGAGACCGAGCAGGACTTTTACCACTGCAATCCAAGTGCAGAAGGGACTGGGAATGTGCAGAGCCAGTTAAGAAGTGGAGAATCCAATGTGGAAAGAAATACTGAATTGTCCTGGGTAGGGACATTGGTGACAGCAGGGCTTGGTTATAGTTTCAGTGCTGTAGATAAAAACATATATATAAAATATACGTATGCAAAGCAGCCTTTTAAAGTGGGATTTATGCTTGAGCATCGTGTGCTTTGGAAACGAATACAAAGATGAGCAATTGTCTGACTCCAGTGAATGAATCCACTTGCCTCCTTTTTTTTTTTTTTAAATCAATCTTTACAGAATGGAAATGAGATCCACAGAGCAGGGGCAAAGGGAAGAAAGGAAAGCGGGGATAACAGATTTTTAAATAGCTGGGTGTTAGGCTGTTTAAGTCACAAAAATCTCAAGATATGTGTTTAATTTTTATAAGATTTATTTATTTTTGTCTAATTCAAGAAAATGGTTGAAAACACAGAGATATCAAATAGCACTGGCAGAACTGTAACATTCCAAAATAATCTACATTTAAGATTATTTCTTCTTAATGTAAATGGGAACTTGGGAAGTTCATAGTCCCTGTTTTTCCTGCACAGGTGAGGATCGTGGCCATGACAGTCCCAAAGGAAGCGGCAGTTTGGGAACACATTTGGAAAGCAGCTCCTTGTCGGATGGAAGCACTCCTCCCTTCTCCAGGTAAGGCTGCAACGCTGGAAATGGTTCCATGAGGGAGAAACTCCAACAGTAAAGGGCTGAAGCACCCCTGATTTATGTTTTTACTTGGACCAGGCTTAAGGTTGCTGTTTCTGTAATCAAAACCACAGGTTTGGAACACCACAGGATATGAGCTCGTCCTTGCTTTTAATCCTCTTGCTCCACAGATTTTTAGGCTGCTGTGGGTGAGGTCAGTTCTGATTCTGCAATTGCTGTTAAAATCACAGAATTTCTATAATTCAAACACATTAAATACAAGTTGTAACTGAGCATTGATGACTGGCATTGCTGCTTTTGTGTGGAATTAATTCTTACCATCTTAGGTTCAATTGTTTTCTCTTTTCATATTTTCTGGAACTTTGAGAATGATGAGCCAATGATTATCCTGCCTTGTGCTATGAAATGCAAGGGTGTTCCTGTAGATGAGTGTTTGAGATGTTATATTTTAGCCCTTCCCTGAAGCCTGGGACAGCAGGAATAGCAGAATAGGGCCCTGAGAACTTACTTACAGGGTCACTGCGGTTGAGTAAAATGTGTAATTTAAAATTAACTATTTTTTATTTAAGATAAAAACTCTGCAAAGTAAACCCCATTGCTGCTACGCTGCCGTCCAATCGTGCCTGCAGCCACTTCTGCCTTGGTTAGATGCTGTACATTTTTTTTGCCTTCTTTTTTTCTTTTTCTCCAATTTTGATTTGTAAGAGATTTCAAATAATTCCCTCTGGTCTAAAATTCCAGGCCTCACAGTGCTCAGCAGCAGCACACTTTGTGCAGGGATACATGATGGTGCTGCTTTACAAACCCATGGTAGTAAATCTGTAAGTCAGTGGGAGAGTTAGTTTCTGTAAATGGCTCAAAGCTGCAGTGGGGTTTGGGAGTAGCCTGGGTGCCGGCTGCCCGGAGCGCGGCACGGGGAGGAGGAAGAGGCAGAGCTGTTTGCGGCCGGGCTGTGCCGTGCGGTGCCGCAGTTCTGCGGCACTGCAGTTCTGCTCCTGGCAGCCACTCCTCGGGCTTTATTGCTTTCACAAGTGGTCTCAAACCCACTACTTGAGAATAAACATCCCTGCGAGCTCAGCCGTGGCACTTTATAAATTCTCCTTTGCCGCGTTTTGTCACTGAGCTGATGAGTGACCTCGGTGCGGACCCCGCCGGACCAGAATAAAAACCGTGGCTCCTCTGATGTCCCCCAGACAATAATTATCATGTGCCAGTTAAGCCCAAACTACAGCTGAGGGATTTTACTTTAAAGCAGAGGCTCGGGCACAAAAATGCATTTATAGCTCTTTGTCTGGCACCTCATTATGTGTGGGCCTGATTCATTAAGTAATTGGTTTGCAGTTGTTTACATGAGTATTAAGGCTTTCTATTCAGCAGCCTTTGAGATACACATTGTGCAAATGTTGCATGTTATGAATGTGGAATGAGGGACCGGGGCCTGGCCCTATTGGCTAAACACTGCGTGCTGTTGAAAAGCAAGAGAAAGAGATTGGGTGCTGTTTTGCATAGCAATGACTTTCTTAATAAGCTTTACAGATTGATACACACAAGCTATAAAAGATGCAAAGAGATACTCTTAGCACATTTATCCATGCTCGTTTCACTATTATGAGCCTAGAGAAGGGAAGAATTGAGGGCTTTCATACTCAGGTTTTCAGTGCATGTCTTCAGTGCATGAGACTTAATAGAATCCGATGTTTATTGTATTATAAATCATGGGGAAGTAGGCAGATCTGCAACAGTTTATTATTAAAGATTCTTTCAATGTAAATCTTTTTCTGCCATTGTATTTCCTACAGCAAAATCATTTTGTGGTTGAGTGGGGATGAAAGGCATAATGTACAACGGAGTGAGTCTTAATAGGAAACTGCTCTCCGAGTAAAGACCACTTGTTCCCTTTTGTTCAGCAGTGCATGCCAGAGCTTCCTCTTCTCCCACAAGTGCCGCCTGCTCTACCTCCAGCAAGAAAACCGCTTTTCTCTGGCTCCTTTACTTTCCTGGGGGAATGTTTCTACACATGGAGATGCACCTCTGGGTGCTGCAGCAGGCGAGAGGTTGTTAAATGATATGGTCCTGGGGGAAGAAGGTATCAGAAGTCAGGGCTGAGGATGCTGGCAAGTGCAGGCGGGTAGGCAGCTATGTGTGTGGCATTCTGGGGGATTGTAGCGATGGATGCAGCCAGTGGAGGTCACTCGCTTTCTGGGAATTCCCCATTTTGGATGCAGGCATTTTATTTTTCTTTGACTTGTTTGTGCTGTCTCATTTCCAAATAGTCTAGAGATTAAAGGTGTGTTATCAGCTGAGAACCAAAGCCTGCTTTGGATTTGTCAGGACACCAACATGGCATAAAGTCTTTTAAACTTTAATTAATCTGCTGGAAGGACTCTGGAGGGGGTCTCTGAAGGCTGATTTTCAGCCCTGTTGCCCAACACAGCTGTAGTGACATGCAAATAGAAGCCGGCAGAGCCTAATTCATCTATTAATCGTTCCTGGGCCCGTTGGCTTTGGCCATTGGGGGGCACTCGGGTTCTGCGCATCCCCCACTTCCCCCTTCCCAAACCAGTCCTGACACCGAAAACTCTGCTGTGCTCTGAGAAGACATCCCAGAGCTTTGGAGCTGGCAGCATTCAGGACATGCACAAATGCATTTCCCTTGGAAATCCAGGAGAAGTGCCATCGTGTCAGTCTGGATTCCTGGGAGGTGCACCCAGAAACAAGGCAGGATCCAATGGTTTTATCCCCTCAACATACTCCCAGTTGTCAAATGGCTTCTGTAAGAAGATGACTGAAAATTCCTGCAGGATTCTCTGCTGTTCCAGCTGTTTGTGTGAACCTTGTTTCCTGTGCCTGCACCCCCAGCTGTTGCAGAAGCAGTGCTGCTGGGATGGCACTGCCCTGCCAGCTGTGTGGGGAGAGGCACCAACATCTGCCAGCTGAGCACAGAGGAAACAGTGGATTTTTGGCACTGCCCCTGCTCTCCTGCACAGCTTCCTTTCAGCGTTGTGATGCATCTTTGTGTCAGTGGGTTTTTTTTTTCTCTAGCATGGTGAATCCAAACAGAGACCAGTCTTAGACACAGCTCGACAGAAATCTTTGTATCCTAAAATAAGGGTCGTCCTACTCACAGTGTAATTACTGAAATTCAGTGTTACTACTCCAGCTCTGGCATGATGAATGGACTCTTGAATTTATACTGCCTATGTCACACTGTGCAGAATATGTATTTGGTTTTCCAGGGTGGGAAAATTCCTCCATTGGCATTTAGGATTTCCCAAATTTTTTGGGTATCTTTTTTGCTTGACACAAAAATGTCGAAGTTCAACAGGTACTTTAGCAAGTAGACCTTCAGGCCACAGTAAAACATTTTCTGCTGTTTTCCAGCAAGCCCTTTGATTACCTTGGCTCTTGTTGTCCTGGCATTTTCCTTGATGCCTCAGGTTTTAGCTTTTATTTATTTATTTTATTTATTTAAATCAGTTTATTTCGTTTTTAAAAATTTATTTAAATATTTATAGACTATTTTTCAGATTTCCTACTGCTTTAGTGTGTAGATCTGAGCTTCATATTAAGGGATAGTACGGTCTCTTCACAGAGGAGGCAGACAAAACAATTCCTTCTCTAGCTGGGGACCAAGAACGAACAATACAAATCTCAGGCCCAAGAGCATAAACAACAGCGGAATGAAGAGAGAAAAACAAGAAGGCTAGGACTTCACAACCTAAAGCTATAATTAGACCATTAACTCCAGTATGCAAATGGACCAGAACTTATAAAAGTGAGAGACCTTGTGACTGGTTGTCCATTTTTGTGACCATTTTGGGTTCATCTTGGGTGTAGCCCTGGCTGGGCTCTTGGACTGCCCAAGGTGTATCCATTGAGGCCTTTTAATAAATACCTACTTTATTCTTTTAACTCCATCTAGCCTCTGTTCTAGGTCAGCCTTCACAAGGCATCATCCTGTCAATAATAATTTTCATTATAGAGGAAGAAATACTTTCTTGGAGCTTTTTCATTCCTTACTGTTGCAGCATCTTCAATACAAAAAGCCTGTTTCATCAGAGAAATGGAGAGATTAAAAGGCTCTTTGATGTGAAACTGGTTTGGGTTTTCTCTTTGTCAGAGCCTGGGTTCAGTCTGGAATTATTTTAGGGAAGAAGCAAATGTGTAAACGGATATTGGAGGGTCACGACGGGGGATTAATGAAGGCGCTGGAACCGGCCTGGCTCCATTTATAGCCTGAAAATGTCTCGGCGGAGGTCTGTGCCCATTGTGTGCTGCGGCTGCTGGGTGAGCGCTGCCACGGCCGGGGCTGCCGAGCGCAGCCGCTGCACAATGCAAAGGTGCTGCTGCATCTCTCCAGCTTCACACACCTCACCCCAGAATTTATCCCCTGCAACGTTTCCCAGGTTTGGGCTGGGGGAGCTGCCATTCCCCCTCCGGCCTTTCTGATGTCCTTGCTCCATTTTCTGTATCTGCCCAGCATTTCCTTGTGCTGACAGCTCTCCTGCCGAGCCTTTGCTGCCACCCTGTCCCCATCTCCCTTCTCTGGGGATAGCAGTGCTTGGCTTTGGCTCCAGGCTCTTTGGGGAGTGAACCCCATACAAGACCTGCTGGGTTAGCCCCAGGAAGATGAACCCCAGGGAACAGATGGTGTTCGGTAGATCACCAACATCTCTCTCCCTGCTCTCCTTCTCTTTGTGGGAAGCTGGGGTGGCAGTAGGAAGGTCTCCAGATGTTTATACAGCCATGGTGGTCCTTTCTCCATGGATCCCTCAGCTGGATCTGGAAGACCAAGCCCATGAGATGTGGGTAGTCCTCCCTGGTGATCCTCAGCACTGGACCAAAAGCACTGACCCACTGGTGTTTGTTGTGGGGTTGAACCACAGAGAGAAGTGGGACAGAACTGAGAAAATCCCAGGAACCCCATGCTCCCTTCCCAGCAGCAGGCTAGGATGTGGCCAAGGGGACGCGATGGCTGCTGCCCCCTGATCTTCTCCTCAGCTACTTGAAATGGTTCCTGTGCCAGCATCTACAGGAGGAGCCTCACCAGCTACAGCTCACCAACAAGTGGTTTCCTGCTCCATACCCTGGGGAAAATAGTGCAGCCTCTTGAGCACATTTTCATGGACTGAGCCTGGGATGTGTGGAGCACCTCCTGGGAAGTGCTGAGGACCAGGAGATCTGGCCAAAGGGAGCAGGAGCTCAGGGTGTTCAGCAGGATCAGGCCAGAGGCTCAGGTTTCAAATCCTTTCTGGTTATCCTGTTGAGTGAAGGCCTTTGAAGGAGAAGTGAGAGTATAAGGCAGTGCAGAGTCTTGTTTGGAATAAAAGGGAAAGCCAGTGGGATAGTGCACTAAAGGAATGTTGGAGAAACATTTGAAGCCCAACAGTTTAAAGTTTTTTACTGAATAAGGTCATTATGAGTTACATCACTCTTAATACTCTGCTAGAGCTGTCAGTTGATACTGGTGCTTCTGCCTTGGTGGAACCTGGGCTGTGTTTAATATTCTGGGAATTTCTGTCTGCAGAGCAGGAGCCTTTGGAGAGTGAATAAGATTTAAACAGTGGGAGCTTTCTCTGGATTAAAAGGAAGAGTAGCTGCACCACTGGTAGCTGCAATCCCAAATTCTGACTAAATACTGAGGTTAATGCAAGCAAGGAATCATCTTTGTTTTTTTTTGTTTCCTTCACAGACGCCTCCACAATAGTGGAATATTTGCAGCTCCCACTTTAAGCATTTCTATATTGCCTGCCATATTTTTAAATGAAACACAGCAAATCACAGATAATTCAGAGAGTCCTGTTGTGACTGAGGCCACAGCTTCAAACTTCACCTTGACATTGACTTATTGATGGGCCCAGTGATGTCCCAAATATCTCCTATTTGATCTTCTTTATTAAAATCAGCTGAAGCTTTATTTTTGGAGCTTCTTGCAAGACTGCTGCTGTAAGAGTTAATTCTCCCCTATGTTTGCCCCTGTGCGATTATTCCCCAGCCCCAACACAATGCACACACTGCACACAAAAGATCAAAATGATTCCAGCTTGTTTGAGAGATTCAAAAGGGCCTGTGATGCTCCAGACACAAGAGCAGCCATTTAGCAGAGCAGGCTTGGGCTGCACACACATCAAGGTAGATCAAAGGCAGAGGAGATTGCACATTGCCATGGGGCTGGGGGACAGTGCCAGGACCCAGAGCTCACAGGCAGGAAGTGCAGGGAGCAGCACTGGGGGGAATTTGGTTTTGTTTGGATTTTGTCTTTCTGTACTTTGTACTTTGCGTGCTCTGAAAGGCAGCAGCAGCTCGGCAGAGCTCTGCTCCTCTGTACCTTAACTCAGTGCTGCTGTAAATCAGTGCTGTTACCAGGGAATGACTCCGGGAACAGCTGGACCAGTGTCCCTCCTGCACATGATTTCTCCACCTTTTAGGTGAAGAAGTCTGTGATTAAATAGTTATTTGGAAAAAAAAAAACCAAAAACCCAGTTACAGAAGTTACTGGGTTGTTTTTTTAAACCATTTCACAGTATTTTTTATGAAGTCACTTATGTTTTTTTAATTGGAGACACTTTGCTGATTGATTGAAATATTTTACAGGACTGAATTGCGGAAGGAAACATTAACTCACATAAAATCCAAAGGTAAGAGACAAATGTTAAGCTAATGAAAATTGAGTGTCTTTCTAATTAAATTTATACCATAGAAGCCCTCCCAGAATGTTATGATCTATATAAGGTAGAGAGGAGGGGAGGCATGGAATTTTCCTGTCTCCTGTGGGAGCCAGCAGGGAGCTGAGGAGGACAAATCCAGGGCAGAGAGGAGATGTTTGTTGGGGGGTGGTGTGGAACTGGTCGAGATCTTTGTGGGGTTTAATGAAATGTCAGTTAACAGCAGGTGGAGGGAACCTAGAGAAGGAGAAACTTGGGGGTTCCTTGGTCTTCCGTGTGACCTGGGACATGGGTGGGTGCAGTTGGAAGGTTTTGTGTGTGGCCAGGCTGCTTTTATTCTGAATTGGTGTCTGGACCCTGTGTGGTTTTGCTGCCCACACATTCCAGTTCCCCCTTTACCCCCTGCAAAGCCCACCAGGGCTTGCAGCCACTTCTGACAGAGCCTCCTGCCAGCAGGGCAGTGCTGGCAGCCAGGATCCCTCCGCCTCGAGCCCTGCTCTGGGTGCTGGCAGTCCAGAATGGCCCGGTTTTAGAGATGTGGCATTGAACTGAGGTACAGATGCCATCAAGGACAGCTGCTTTGGTGGCACTTGAAAGGCTCTGGTATGCCTGGCCCCTTTTCTGTCTTGGAGCCATTCAGCATGGCAGCCAGCGCGGGGCTGGCTCTGATGTTCCCAGCAGAGCACAGCCCCGCGGCCCAGGGGGCTGGGGATGGAGGATGAAAGATGCAGATGCTGCATTTGTAGATAAGGTGTTCATGCAGCTGGTGCTGTCAGAGGTACCAAAGTGTCTCAAACATGAGCCTGCAGTGTGTGTGTGAGTGTGACAGCCCTCCTCCTCCCACTGCGCCTGGCCAAGCCCTGAGCCTCATTCCAGCTGCCTTTGGACAGCCAGCAGCCTCTGGATTAGGTAGGAACAGAGAGCATGGCTCTGTCAGCTACTGTGGCCCTGAATTCATGTGCCACACTTCCCACTCTGTCCTATGCATGGGTCAAAAGAATTCACAACTCCAGAAATCTCTCAGGCACTCTGAATTGCCGTGGGATTCTGCTGCCGTCAGTAAAAGAGTTTGCTGATTCTCAGAGCCTAAGGTAAAAGCCATGTGCTCCACTGAGATCAGACCTGCATGGATCTGCTCTGATCTCCAAGTGGTGATTTTTCATTTGTGATGTCATTGCTATTTTTGTGCCAACCCTGTGATGTCATGGCCCTCTGGTGACTTAATCGCAGGGTCAAGTAGTGGGGACAAAGGGGAAGAGAATAGACAAAGCTGCAATTCAGGCAGCATCTGGTCAAGTAAATTGCTTGGAGTGGAAATGTTCTGCCCAGCTACCTTGTGGCACAATGGAGTGGAAGCACTGAATGAGGCCGCTGTCCAGCAGCCGCTCTGCTGCCGGACACTGTGCCAGACATGCACACCTGGGGCTGAGTCTCCCAACTCCCAGCCCTCAGTCAGCCTCAGGAGACCCGTCCTGTGCTCATGGCTGTGACAAGTGGCATGGCCACAGAAAAGGTTTTGCACCTCTGCTTTCCGTCTTCTCACCCACAGCATTCTGGGGCGAATCTGACGACAGCTGCTCCGAAATCGAGGCTGCTCTGCGCCCACAGACCCACGGCACAGATTCAGACGACTTTGATGACTTCTATGACTGAGATTCTCCCACTGGCTTTTGGGAAGAAACAAACTGTGTTTTCTTTTACACAATGACTGTGCCACAGGCTGCAGCACTGCCTGTTACTTAATTGGCAAAGAAAATTTAAATACCAAATAAACATAATGGGTCCTATATATTGTCTGTGTGCTCTCTCTGACCTGCAGTGTTTTTCTGCTCTGACGGGAATCCTGCCCCATGATAGTCCCCTCCTGAGGCTTGTGGCATCCCAATATTGGGACTCCAGTGCTAGACAGGGTTTGGGAAGAAGCAGACAAGCATTGTGGGTATGCAGACAGGCACTGCTGGGGTGGGCTGGTATGTTTGATCTTTATCTTCTTCTGCAACAGATCAAGAAGAAGAAATGCATAAAATGTCCATTTGTAATTCAGCACATTTTGGAACAGAGCAGCATTTACATGTGGCAAGCCCCAGCGCTTTCCTGCTTTTCCCTGCTTTGTGAAATCCATGCTGGTGTTGCTGTGTGGACATCACAGTAATTGGATGACTCCAGGAGCTTCATGCATTTTTAATTTGCTGCTTCATTTTATCTAAAAAATACATTCATTAAACATGAGATTTTCTTTGGGATGGAGAAACCAGGGGACATGTTAAAGCTGTTCATAAATGACAAGTTCAAAAGCAGAAAGCAGCACCCCAATTAAGGTGTGCTGTGCTGCACTCCCACGTCTCCCAACACAGGCACCCATCTCTGCACCCCATTCCTCAAAACCCAGCTAGAAATGGGACAAACATTCAGTGTAATAAGAGGAATGTGTAGGCTGAAAGCTCAACAGAACAAAATGACTTGCAGAAGGCTTGGAGCTGAGCAGGAGCTATTGGCACAGCTGGCTGCTGTGAGTTTCAGTCTGCCATCAGTGAAGTTGAAGCCTGGAATGTTCAGGGAACTGGAAATCTGCTACACCAAGGATGGAGTTGGGTGAGTCTGTGACCAAGGCTGACATCCTGGGAGACTGCTGGGCTCGACTGAAGGACTGCTGCAACTGACAGAGTGAGAGGACACAGTCTTAAGCTGCACCAAGGGAAATACAGGTTGGATATTAGGAAAAGGTATTTTACAGAAAGAGTGATAAAGTACTGGAATCATCTGCCTGCAGAGATGGTGGAGTCACCATCTCTGCACAGATCACATCTCATCCACAGATCCGTGGATCTGTTTTAAAAAAGACTAGATGTGGCACTCAGTGTTGTGGTTGAGGTGTCAGGGCATGGGTTGGACTCAATGATCTTGAAAGTCCCTTTCAACCTTGTGATTCCGTGACTAAAGCCAGACTTTACTGAGGGCTTTAATGTCCTTTTTACCGCACCAGCTCCCTGTGTCCTGTGGGACTGCTGCCTGCTGCTAGTGCTGTGGGGTGTGCATGTTGCTCAAGGCCTGGGAGGAACATCGAGAGGAGGAGCAGCCCCACTGGAAAAATCCAGCGGCTTGCGCTGCCAAGGGACATCGCCACAGCAGTGCAGTGTCTTTGCAGCTCTGAGCTCCTCCTGAGTGACTCTGGGCTGCTGATGTCAGCCCACTTTCTGTCTGCTGCATGACACCAGTCTGTGGGGCTTTCCACCGCCAGAGTCCGGCTCAGCCCTGACAGTGGCCCATCACAGGTGATGGATGGCTGTAGAGCCACATGCAGGCAATCTCTGCCTCTTGGTGTCAGAGCAATAGCCAGGTTCCTCCAGAGGTTATTTATGATACTCTTATTGTGCACAGACTCATTAGATGCAAAACATCCCTCCAGTCAACATCCCTGTGCTCCTTCACAGCTGTCACACTGGCAGCCTGGCCCTGGTTGCAGGTGATGCTGACAGACAGAGGGACTGAATCAATACACCCCAAACAGATTCCCATCAGCACGCCACTCATCTGAGGAAAGTGCTCGAGTAGGAAGCTTTCCTTGCTCCTGCCCAGGGTGCGCTGCTCTGTGCTGTGCTCACGGATGTGCAATTAGCAGGTGAGACCCAGGCTCACCGCCCAGTGCAGCTGCTGGCGCTCAGACCAACTTTTCAAGGAATTGTCTGCTGCAGTATTCATTTTTCCAGCACTTGTTTACCCAAGCAATTATAAGATAAGATGATCGCCTTTCATTTGCATCTGCCAGCCTTCTGTTTTCTTCATCATTATCAGAAAAACAACTGATTGCCCATCAATACAAACAAAATGTTCATGCTAAGCTGCCGTGCTCCCCACAAAATTCCGGGAGGAGAAGCACTACAATAGGAAGCTTCAATCAGGGAACATTTTGTAAGGAACAGATAAAGCACAATCTTCAGCTGATACCACAGGTATGGTTGGTGCGACTACAAAGTTGCAGGGGAAATTTATTCAAGTCACAGATTTTATTGAGGGGAATGACAACAGAAAATGGCTTAACAACAGCAAATGAGGATAAGAATAATGAGAGACACAATATTGGGTTAATTTATTCTACAGTGAATTAGCCAGGTACCAAGGTTCTCCTCGGTTCCCCAAATCGGCGGCGTTGACTCAGCAAGCACTGCTGAGACTTTGTTATTTTTGTTAATGACTCCCAGGCTGCTGTTCCCTATCCTCGGCCCTGCAGCTGCCCTGCTAACGGAGATGATGTATGGCAACGGGACATGGCAGAGCAAAACCTGGCTCATCTTAATCCCGTTTAATTCCCAACCGTTTAATTCCATTTTGATGCTGTCGAACAGCCACAAATTAACAGTATTTGCTTATGCCATGGGCAGAGCAAGGGCATGGGGACTCTTTGCCTCATGTTGCTCTCAGGAATCACATAGAGGCACTTCTCACTGGAAATGTCCCCTCAGAGGGCACAGAGCAGCCATGCCCTGAATCGCTCCTGTTGTTGCCAAACGCAGGATAAGTCAAAATTGTCTGAAGTCGGGATGTTCTTTAATGTAATATTTTTGTATACTTTCATGCAGAGACCTATTAGTGCATCCCTTCAAGGACACCTTGGAACCACCAAGCTTTAAGGATGTAGGAAATCTAGATGTTGATGCCTATGTATGCATTCCTAACTTGGCAAAACACCCAAATTCCATGTATCCTATAGCTGAACCGTGTTTGTTGTAACACTGAAACTCACACCTACAGGCCAAGAAGAGGTGCAGATCCTTCCCCTGAGCACATGGAAGAGCTGGCTGGGGTTACATAACTCATGTGGAAATTACTGATCAATCCTAAAAGAGGGGCTGTGCTGGGGAAGTTGCCAGGTCTGAATTTCTAAGTAACAGTGGTTGTGCTGCGTTTAGGGAATATATTGAGCATGCAGCTCACGCAGCACTGAAATAAATCATCCATGTCTCTCTTAATTATTGACTTGTTGGGCAACAGTGCCGTGCAGCCTAAAGCACCCCACAGCAGCAGCCCATGTTTTAACAAGGTGCTAAGGGAAGGTGATTCTCCTGTTAAACTGCTCCTTTTTTGAAGAGAAGTTGTCGCACTTCTTGTCTTGGCTGAGTGTAAGGGCGGTAGTGGGGCTGTCTCAGGCTTCCCTCAGGTTTCGCTTTTCCTCCTGATATCACTCTTGTGCCCTGTGGTTTTGCTTTTTCCCTCTGAGCGTCCCTGTTGTATGCCAGGAGCTGCGCGGACCCGTTTTGGGGGCGCTGTCCCCTCACGCTCCGGGCCCCCGCCCGGCCGCCACTGCGGCGCTCCCCGCGCGCGCCCCCGATGGCGGCGCCACGTGACCGCGCGCCCCGCCCCCCCTTCCCGGCGTGCCCGGCGTGCCCCGCACCGCCCCCCGACCCGGAAGTGCCGCGGGTGCCGCTGGCCCCAGCCCGTCCCGCTGCCGCCATGGGGGTCCCGGCCTTCTTCCGCTGGCTCAGCCGCAAGTACCCCTCCATTATCGTCAACTGCGTCGAGGAGAAGGTGAGCCGGCCGCCCAGCATGGCACGGGCCCGCTGGCGGCCGCCCCGGGGCGCCTCGGTCGGGGCGGCCGCGCCGGTGCTGAGCGCCCAGTGCTGAGTCCCCGCTGTTGCCCCCGTGGGCTGCCCCGAGGCCTTTCCAAGGCGGGTCGGTGGGTGGGTGGATTTGGGCTATGCTTGGGTTTGTTTCGGGTGTTGTTTAGGATTGGGAGAAGTTTGGGGTTTTTTGGGTTTTGGAGTTTTTTCCGGATTTTTAATCCCGCTGGAAGCGGGAGGAGTTATCCCAGCGCCTCGCTGAGTGCCGCTGGCGCGCGTGAGCGCTCCTGGAAGGAACGGGCACGCGGAGGGAGTGGGAATGGGCGCCGGAGCAGGGAAGCGAGCTTCCTTTCCGATTGCCCCTTCTCCGGCCGCTTCGCTGGAATTCCAGCCCTTCCCGGCGCCCTCGGCTCTGCCCTCATGCGACTTCGACCCGGAAAGGTAGGATTTGAGGCACTGGTGAAATTTGAGTAGGGAGCGGTCGGAGTGTTTTTTGCTGTTCGTTGAATGTTTTTCACAGTTCTTGCTTTCCCACAACTTTTTTGGAGGGGAATTAGAAGCCGCAGCAAGCTCCGGGACTTGCTGGAAACACGAGTGCAGCTGCCTCTGGCGCTACATCCAAGACTTACACCAAGTCTGGGCTTGTGCTCGAACCTTGATCAGCCTCAGGGGATTTTGTCTCGTTGTTGGTATTTTCTAGTTCGGGATAAAGATCTCCTGGCCGAACAGGGAGCTGGTTATTCCAAAGACATCTCTAAAATATGGCTTTCCATGGCAGCAGCAGCAGGTTTCAGTGAAGGCTCTGACACAAGATACCACAGTTGCCTTTCCAGGCAGTATTGAAGCTGAAGTAATGTTTGTTTCCGTGGTTTTTTTTTTGGACTGGTTCCTTCAGGCACATGCCTGCAACTGTGAGGGTGTTGTACCATCCTATGGGTCACAGTGGGAGGGGATAGGAAGGATGAGGGGGAGTCATCTCCATTCAGCGGCAGGCTTTGAGTGGCCGCACCGTGGTGAATTGCCACACTGTGCCCTGAGTCTGGCAAGTTCTCCTCCTCAGGGCTAATTCAAGCCTTTCTGAGGAGGCAGACTCTGGAGATCTTGCTTTCCAAACTGCTTTTCCCATGGGCTTTTCCAAAGAATTTGTGTTCTGCCTTGTTAGATGGTACTGGCTGCGGTGTGCTGGTTTGGAAAGTTCAGGGCGTGTGCTGGCGCTTCTGCCTCTCTGCTCC